ACTAATTCCAAAGGTAGTAAACAACTCACTGATGTTTGGATAATTGATTCGGGAGCAACATGGCACATGACTCCTCGACCAGATTGGTTTTACACTTATCAACCTATCTCAGAAGGATCAGTGTTCATGGGAAACGATTACGCCTTAGAAATTGCTGGTGTTGGTATTGTGAAAATAAAAATGTATGATGGTACAGTTCACACAATTCAAGAGGTGCGACATGTGAAAGGGTTAAAGAAAAATTTATTGTCTATTGGACAATTAGATGACCTCGGGTGCAAGACCCATATTGAAGGTGGAATCTTGAAAGTGGTGAGAGGTGCTCTAGTAGTGATGAAGGCAGAAAAGTTATCTGCAAATTTGTACATTCTTATGGGACAGACATTGCAAGAAGGTGATGTGTCAATTGCATTAACTAGTCAAGAAAACTCAACAACAATGTGGCATCACAGACTAGGCCACATGTCAGAACGAGGCTGAAAGTTCTTGCAGAACGTGGTCTCTTACCCGGGCTCAAATCAGTAAGTCTACCTTTCTGTGAGCATTGTGTAGTAAGCAAACAAAATAGGTTGAAGTTTGATAGATCAACTACTAAGAGCAAACATATACTTGACTTGATTCATTCTGATGTGTGGGAGTCGCCAAAAATATCCATAGGAGGAGCAAAATATTTTGTATCATTCATTGATGATTACTCCAGGAGATTGTGGGTATACCCAATCAAGAAGAAGTCAGATGTGTTTTCAATATTCAAGCAATTCAAAGCACTAATTGAGCTTGAAATCGGAAAGAAGATTAAGTGCTTGAGGACAGACAATGGAGGAGAATATATAAACAGTGATTTTTTGGCATTTTACAAGGAAGAGGGTATAATGAGACAATTTACAGTTGCTCATACGCCTCAGCAGAATGGTGTAGCAGAGCGGATGAATAGAACTCTCCTAGAAAGGACTAGAACTATGTTGCGAACTGCAGGATTAGCTAAGTCATTATGGGCAGAAGTCGTGAAAACTGCATATTATGTGATAAATAGATCGCCATCAAGTGCAATTGGTTTAAAGACTCCGATGGAGATATGGAAAGGAAAGACAGCTGAGTATTCTACTCTACATGTGGTTGGATGTCCTGTGTACGTGATGTACAACTCCCAAGAAAGAACTAAGCTGGATCCAAAATCTAGGAAATGCATATTCTTGGGCTATGCAGATGGTGTCAAGGGGTATCGCCTGTGGGATCCCACTTCTCGCAAGGTTATTATCAGCAGGGATGTAATCTTTGCATAGAATGAAATGCAAAGGGAACATGAAATTGATAGTACTTCTAAAGATATCACTACTTTACATATAGATGGAAAGTCTGTAGGAGATGATTCTTTTGAAGCAGAACCAGAGCACGAGGTACAAGAACTAGAGGAACCTGATGGTGTTGAATTTCGACGACCAACACATAAGAAAAGGAAACCAAATTGGCAGTTAGACTATGTTATAGCAAGCCATGATGCATATTGTCTTCTAACAGAAGATGGAGAACCATCAACCTTTCAAGAGGCTGTGAGTTGCTCAAGTGATTCTCTGTGGATGGCAACAATATAGGAAGAAATGGAATCCTTACATAGAAATAATACATGGGATCTTATTGTACTTCCAATGGGTCGGAAAGCCATCGACAACAAATGGGTCTATAAGATTAAGCGTGATGGTAATGATCAAGTGGAAAGATATCGTGCAAGACTTGTGGTTAAAGGATATACTCAAAAGGAAGGAATTGATTTCAATGAAATATTTTCTCCGGTGGTTAGACTTACCACTATCAGAGTAGTGTTAGCTATGTGTGTTGTTTATGATTTACATCTTGAAGAATTGGATGTAAAGACTGCTTTTCTTCATGGAGATTTTGAAGAAGAAATATATATGCTACAACCAGAAGGTTTTGAAGAAAAAGGAAAAGAAAATTTGGTTTGCAGGCTGACCAAATCTCTGTACGCTTTAAAGCAGGCGCCGATGTGTTGGTATAAGAGATTTGATTCTTTCATTATTAGCCTTGGATACAACAGGTTGAGCTCAGATCATTGTACATATTATAAGAGGTTTGAGGAAAATTCTTTCATCATTTTGTTGTTGTATGTGGATGACATGTTGGTGGTAGGCCCCAACAAAGATCAAATCCAAGAATTAAAGGCACAATTGGCTAGGGAATTCGATATGAAAGACTTGGGGCCAGGAAATAAGATTTCAGGGATGCAAATTCACCGAGATAGAAAATATAGGAAGATTTGACTTTCTCAAAGAAATTATCTACGAAATTTTTTGCGGCGCTTCAACATGCAAGACTGTAAGCCAATATCTACCCCACTTCCTATCAATTATAAATTATCCTCAAGTATGAATCCTAGGAATGAAGCGGAGAGGATGGAAATGTCTCGAGTACCCTATGCATCAGCGGTGGGAAGCCTTATGTATGCCATGATATGTACAAGGCCAAACATTGCACAAGCAGTGGGAGCGGTCAGTCGGTTTATGGCAGATCCTGGTAAAGAGCATTGGAATATTGTGAAGAGGATCCTAAGATACATTAAAGGAACCTCAGATGTTGCATTATGTTTTGGAGGATTGGAGTTTGGTGTCAGAGGATATGTTGATTCAGATTATGCAGGTGATCTTGACAAAATAAAATCTACTATAGGCTATGTGTTTACAATTGCAGGAGGAGCGGTAAGTTGGTTATCCAAATTGCAGACTGTTGTAGCTCTATCTACTACAGACGCTGAGTATATGGCAGCTACCCAAGCATGCAAGGAAGCTATATGTATTCAAAGGTTATTGGAAGAGCTCGAATACAAACAAAAAAAATTATTATGTATTGTGACAATCAAAATGCCTTGCACATTGCAAGAAATCCAGCTTTTTATTCCAAGACAAAGCACATAGGATTTCAATACCATTTTGTTCGTGAAGTAGTAAAGGAAGGGAGTGTGGACTTGCAAAAGATTCACACAAAAGACAACCTAGCAGATGTTTTGATAAATTCGATTAACGCTGACAAGTTTTATTGGTGCAATTCTTCTTATGGCCTATCTAAAAGGTAGCAACATGGAATTAACAAGGGATATAAATTTTGGAAACAAACAAAATGACTTTAAGTGGGAGATTGTGAGAACATAAAGTCATTTATTTTGTAGAAAATGTCAATGCATTAGAAATCACTGATTTCTATGATGAAGAGAAGATTAAGCATAATTTACTAAATATGTATCAACTTATTTTAGTACATGAGTCTCTTATATATAGAGAACTCATATTGTTGTTTATGCATCATCCTATTATCATTCAATTGTATTTTTTCTCATTTCTATACTATTCTCTTATATTTTAACTATATTATAATTATTTCATGTTATTCTGATATCCAACCCCTTCCAAGTGATGCTCCTGGTTTAAATTACAATCATACATTGAAGTAAACTAATGCAACCTTAACAGCGTTTGAAAATTGAAAAATATTGTCTTGCTAAATTTGCATTTTATTTTATAAAAAAAGTAGTACGTATATTAAATAGTACAATCATCAGAGTCTAAAAATAAAATAAATCATCTTCTAATTTTTCTACTTGTTATTGAAATAACTATTGTTAAATTAAAGATAATATGCACCAAGAAATATTACGTCTAGAAAAAATAGTGAAAAAATAATAATTTTTAATTATTTATGTTACTAATATTATATGTAGAATAAATAATAATTTTTAATTATTTTTGTTATTATTATTTTTATTTTTAAATTTAAGATATAATGTTTTTTTAAAATAATATATGAAATATATATTATTGATGTAAAATGATTTTTTTTTATTTTAAAACTATTTCTTACTTTTAAAAATAATAAATTGATTTAGTAATTTTGTTTTTCTTATTTACATTTTATTACATTTTGAAAACAAAAACGTGTGTACCACACCAGTATCCATTTAAACATATTAGTACTGATATGATACGCGCATATGGTACTACTATTAAGATATTGATTTTAAATATATAATAACGGGAAAAAATTTATTATTGATTTAAATTTTTTTATAAAATTTTTAATACAAAAATATTAATATATTTGAATAAGTAAAAAGAATGTATAAATCTAAATACGAGAAAAATGTATTGTTTATTAATTATTTACGTATTTAATATTTTTATTTTAAAATTATTTTTAATTTAAGATACACATTTTTTTAAGATAATATATTAAAAAATGAAATATATATTATTGATGTAAAATAAATTTGATAAACCATTTTTGTTTTTATTTTGAAAATATTTCTTTCTTTTAAAATTAACAGACTATTTTTGTGAAACAATTCTGTTTTTATTTATATTTTTTTTCAAATTTTGAAATAAAAACATATGTACCAGTCAATACTCGTACAAATGCAATCTGAATCCTTCTAGTTAGCTTAGAGTATTTTTCTTGTTGTCCTCATTCATACCCTTTCGGTTTTTCGCCGACACAAAAAATTATTATACTTGATCTTGACATGGTTTTTCAATATATATATTAAGAAGAAGAAGAAAATTCATAAGAAATTAATCTTCAGATCTATTAACCGAATTTAACTCAAATTTTTAGTTATGCAGCTGTACTCTTTCAAAACTTAGAGTGACCACTTCGACTACTCTCTATTCATATACTTTATTGAGAGATAGTATAGTTTGGTGTGGGGAATATTTGAATGTATCTCAGTATCAGCATAAGATAGCAATGAGACATAGGACGGACAACTCCGCTGTGTCTATATTTCATAGCCTTCGATCTTTCAGTACTCTTATTGATACTATTTATACTATCGTTTGTTCATACTATCTACTATTCCAACTACCAAGTAAAGGTTCTTTATTGATCCTTCTTTCCTCCATTATAAATAGTTCACACTTTCTTACTTGTTTTCTCATCGTTTTCTATCACATTTTCCAATTGTATCAATTTCTGTAGTTTACTATTAATTTTGAACAATGGATTTGAAAAATGCAATATTAGTCATCCTATGCCTCTTGGCTATGGTTGTTCTTATATCATCAAATGTGTCAGCAAGGGACTTGATTGAGACTTCTTCTAATACCAAAAAAGGTGAGCTACATATTAAATTTATTTAACTATAAACTCATGTGATATATGATTTTATTATGAGATTTTATTTTTATTAAATATGGTTAGATTAAAATAAAATTACACAACATTATATTTTCAGGGGTAAATGATGTCAAAAATGGTTATGGAGACTACAGTGATAGTGGTAGCGGTGGTTACAACAATGGTTATCCGAATAATGGTGGTGGTGGCTACCAAGGTAATGGTGATGCTTATAATGGTGATCAAGGTGATGATTATGCAGATAATGGTGATGATTTCTCTGGTAATGGTGGAGGTTATAACGGTGGCCTCCCTAGTAATGGAGGAAGCTACAACGGTGGTTTTAATCCTGTTCATGGTGGTAGTCATATTGGTGGTCACCATGGTCATCGTGGTGTTTATTTTGGTGGATATGGTAGTGGTTACTTGGGTCATGGTGGTGTTTATATGGGTGGTTATGGTGGTGGTTTCTTGGGTAATGATGGTCACCATGGTGAAGTTGTTGCTGTTCAAACTAAAGACAACACTCGTAACTAATAATCATATCATGGTTTATGATAGATTTGCTTAAATTTCACGAATAAATAATGTTGTGTGTAGATTTTGAAAGGTTTTCCTATTCATCAGTTTTTTTCCACTATATAGTATTGTTATTTTAGTATGTATAAGTACATCATTACTATAGGTATATGTGATGATGAATTTAATTTTGAATAAAAGTGGTGAATGTGTTATCTTTTGTACCATATAAAAATTCATTAACTTTAATTTGTAATTTGTCTCCTTTTAAGCTCACATTTATGTAGACGATGTTATCTAATAATTATCTAATAAAAACACCTATAAAAAATCATAAACTTTAATTGGTATTTCATCTTCTTTTAAATGATGTTGTCTAATAAAATCCACCTATTAAAAAATAACACTTTAACCACAAATTCTATTTAAAAATATTTAATGTCATCACTAAATTCAAATTCCGATATTTACGATTGTGTAAGACTTTTTAATGATTATTACTCTTTCGTTTATTTATTATTTAAAAGTTTCTCTCTTTAAAAATTAAAATTTTAGTTTTGACTTTTAAGAACAATAAAAAAATAAATATTAACAATAAGTACTATAAAAAAAACTTTTATTTGCGACGTGAATTTCATGTCACAATTTAAAAAATCACATCACAATAAATTATTAGCCGCGTGAAGGATCATGTGGTTTGGGAGAGGGAGACAAATTATTTGCGACGTGATTTTCTTGTCACAAAGTTGTGACGTGAAAATCACGTCGCAACATACTTTGCTTTATTTGCCACGTGATTTTCACGTCACAAAGTACTGACGCGAAAATCACGTCACTAAATCAATTTTCACGTTACAACTTCTGACGTGAAAATCACGTCACTAATATTTTTTTTTTTAATTTAATAGTTGAACTTATTTTTCTTTGTATAATTAATTAAATTAATAATATTAATTAATAAATTTAATATATAATAAATTAAATTAACAAATTTAACAAATAATAAATTAAATATATAATAAATTCAATATATAATAAATTCAATATTTAATAAATTCTATATATAATAAATTAGATATATTAAATTTAATATAATAAAATTAATAAAATAAAATTATAAATTTAAGAATTAATTAATTAGTATGGTACACAAATTCAAACGTGAATAAATATAAAAAAAAATTTACGGGTTATCTTGGTTGGTATAATTGTCAATGTCAAAATCACCATCGCTTCCGTCATCCTTCGACTCTTAACCACGAAAGTTTTGATTTCCACTAAACCCTTAACTATATGTTAACCATAATTTTTTTATATATTAACTAAACATTTAATAAACATATTGAATATATATTAACCATAATTTTTTAACAAAGATATTACTTTTTTAAGAAATATAAAATATACTTTTTTAAGAAATATAAAATATAATTTATTCTATTTATATTTTAATCATAAATAAATATTTAACTATGGTAACTATAATTAAATTTTATAACTATTTTATAATTATATATATATATATATATATATATATATATATATATATATATATATATATATATATATATATATATATATATATATATATATATATATATATATAAATTATTAGAATAACAATTTATAATAAATGTTATAAACAAAATAAAAATTAACTTATATATAAAATAAAATTAAAATTGCATAAATACTTGTTCTTTAATCTCCTTCAAACAATGTTCTTCTTCAATCTTTTTCTAAACTCTTCAATGTTCTTCAATTTTGACAAAAAAAATTAAACAAAAATTAGTATTAGTAAATATAATAAACAATAAACAAAATTATATCAATACATTAAAAAAAATCATATAATATAATTATCACTATCAATAAAGTTGTAGCTTTGGAAAATTTATGAAAAAATTTAATGAAAGATTTGAGATGATTTGAGAAGATAACAGAACAAAAATTTGTGAAATAATGAATCTTGAATGAAGGGATATGGATATGGAGTTGTGTACGCGTTTCTATATACGCCACGAGGCAACGTGAAAATCACGTCGCAACCTTGCCACGTGATTTTCACATCGCAACACACCTAACGGTCATAAAATTATTTGTTCTCTCTGCACATACACTGTAACTTGTTAAGTCAAAACCAAATAATTAACCCTTTAAATGTTGCAACATAAAAAACACGTTACAACTAAATTTTTAAAATTTTTTAAAAATCCCTCCATCTTAACGTTAAAGCTTTTTTGCTGTTTTATTTTAACTTTTTGATAGCGACGTGAGTCCCATGTCGCAACTAATTTTATTTATAAAAAAAATAGAATCCCTACATCTGAACACGTTATTTTGATTTTTTTAATATATAAAATTATAGTGACGTGATTATCACGTCGCAACAGCCTTTTTTTAGTCATGTAATAATCACGTCTCTTTATATCCTTGAGAAACACATTTCTTATAGTGAAGTAATATTATTATTTATTAAATAATTCGTCATAAATATTCAAGTACTTGACATTATTAAAACGCATAGTTATGGTTGAAACGAGTATAAAATAGACACACAATAAAGTTTTAAAACAAATTATAAAATGAGTAATGTTATTCTTACATACTAAATGCTTACACCAAACATCTCCGTGTTTATACACCAAACATTGTTTTTAAAAATAAAATAATAATATTTATAAAAAAAAATTATCTTTAAAATTATTTTTATAACATAAATATATATTTTATTATTAACAAATTTTATTATTGCATTAATGAGAAAAATATAGATTATTAACCACATATTTTACTTATATTTAGTTATCCAAATTTACTATTTTATTAACCAATAAATTATATTTTATTAATCGAGTTAGGACATTAAATTATAAAATATAATAATTTATTTTGACATTCCATTAACCAATTTTATTTGCATTGTTTCATAATTTAATATCAAAACTTGATTAATGTAGTGTAAAGATTGATTTTATATTTCATATTTTAATGTCAGAACTTAATTAATATTATATAAGTTATTGGTTAATGAAGTAGTACATCTAGTTAATGAATTATAAATAAATTTTTGGTTAATAATTTTGAAGTTGTTATTTGAATGGTTAGAATTTGTTTGAAGCAATCTTACTTGATTGTTGGGTGTATAAATAAGTGAGTGCAATCTTACTCTTTGAGTTAGTTTTTTGGATTGAGATCTAAGTATATTTAATATGGTATCAGAGTTGGATTAAGGACTCCAATATAAACACTCATATTTAATAAATAACTTATATTTTTTTGGTTAATGCAATAACAAAATTGGTTAATAATAAATTTATATTTTTATTATAAAAATATTTTTAAAAATAAAAAAAATTATTTTATAAATATTATTATTTTATTTTAAAAAATATTGTTTATTGTACAAATATGATGAACATTATTTATTGTAAATATTTGATATATATAATGGTATAAGTATAACATTACTCTTATAAAATAGGCTCAAGAAAGTTTTAAAAATTAAATTCTCTTTAATTTTTTTCATATAAATTAACTCTTCTAATATATTCTCAGATTCAAAATCATTATCTAATAGAAACCCATCAAAATTAAAATTTGTTAATCTTGGTGACTTAGAAAAACTGATAGAAATATTGTGTACGTTGGATGAGGCATTTGTTTTCCATAATATTACTAAAAAAACCGGTAAATTGTTGCTGTTTTAATAAGTCAGTTACAAAATCTGGCACAATTCACTATGAATTATGTCGGTTTTATTAGCCGCCGTAATGCTACTCATTTTATGGTTGTTACAACCGTCACTCTTTACATATTCATACCCAACTCTACCTCACTCTTTTTTTTTCTCTTTTTTTTTATCTTTTTTTTCTCTATTTTTTTTTTTACCAAACTAAATTTCATATTCCTTTTCAAGATTAAATTGTATACTTTTTTTTAGAAAAACTCTTTGCACATATGAATAGAAATATTTTTATTAACATTAACATATTAATTATTAATATAATTAATTTTATAGTAATAATTAATTTAGTGATATCCAATTTTAATACAATTTTTTTATATAGAAAAACTCTTTGCACATATGAATAGAAATATTTTTATTAATCTTAACATATTAATTATTGATATAATTAATTTTATAGTAATAATTAGTTTAGTGATATCCAATTTTAATAAAATAATTTACCAAAATTGTTTCAGTACCAAAGAAAAATGGGAAAGTCCGCATGTGTGTTGATTATAGAGATTTAAATAAAGAAAGTCCAAAATATGATTTCCTATTTCCCCATATTGATATGTTAGTTGATAGCTGTTTATCTTGTAATTTGGTAAACAACCGCTGATCTTCTAAATTTCTAAAAAAGATTCAGTTACTTGCGAGATCGATCAAATTGATCTCAGGACTATTGTGTTCTAGTTTTTAGGAAAAAGGTTTTGATGATAACTTCTTTAAACGTAGAGAATCACTTTGATATCAAAATAAAGTGTCCTTATAAAGGCAATAAAACAGAAAACTTTTCTAGACTGTAAATCGTATAGAATATAAATGACATGAAGAAATTTCATTAAATGTAAATAACTTTCGAATGTAAATATGATGCATCATACGTACATGTCTCACTAACTCGTTTCTCTAACACTGATACTTTGAGTATTTGAGTATATTGTATAAAGATGTGAACATACTGAATCCTAACATCTAAGACTCTTATTTATACTAATTCGACTTTAACGGTATTTCTATGAGATTACGCCATGTTCGACACCTTTTACATGCATACATTTTGGCGCTTCCACGCGTTTTCCTGGCGAAACGCATTAGTTTGAAATTTAAACTTCCCGCTCGAAGCTTTTGAATTCAACTTTGAATTCAACCAACGTGACTGTCGAAGTATTCATATATCTTAAAATATTCCTTTCACTTTAAGTTGCCCTTTCAACACGTCGAATCATAAAAATGAGCTTTACAAAATAACCTTATAAGGTCCAATTTCATGTTATTTTTAAACCAT